CGCTGCCCGCAGGTGCCTCAGTTCAGTAATTCCGACAGTAATCCCATCACAGATCCGAAGAGCAGGTACAGCCGGACGGCCAGAGGTTCGTGCCCGCAGAACGACACGCGGCCACCGCTGCCCAAGGGGCTTCTGCTGAACAACCGTGTCAGCAAAGCTCGCGGTTGTTCCTCCCCACCGTTAGAACGTGTGGCACACCGGTACAGGCAGAACGCTGCTGGCGCACAGGGAGCCACAGGTCCTCGCTGCCCCGTTTGCTGACCCCGACTCTGGTAAAGCACTTGTGTGTGAAAGAGAAAAGAGCCAAGCACACAGAGCCGGACCAGGAGTCAAGAGAGAGCTGACCCCAGCACGCCGACCCGCACACACGGACACCTACTGATTACAACACGCATCGTAGCCTCACATGGCTCTGTCTGCACTTTTTTTTTAGTTAAAGTTGACAATTCCTTTCCTAGTGAGAAGCCATTTATTGTTTTCAGCGGAAAACTTGTCTGACCTCAGCTGGGAAGCATGGAAGTCTGGCCATTTAAGATCAAATCATAAGGACACGTCTTCTATTTCAGAGGACTATGCAACATCTCTCAATACAAATCAGTAAAATAACACAGGTTTAAAGCATCAAGCTTGAAGAACAGGAAAACTGAATAAAAATGAGTACATGACCAGGACACACTGGCTCTTTTGACATTTTTTAAAAAAATATTATATCCCAATAGAGGCCAGCATTACATTTCCATTTTATGCCAAAGGACCGAAGTTTGTATATATTCAAGTTGTACGGTGCACAATAAACCGGAGATCACCAGGGGTTCTAAGTCCACTGACTTACCTTTAAACATCAAACCCAGTAATCTACCTAAAATTGCTCTGAAAGTTAAGGTAAGCATTATTTTGAACCACAATTTCATCCTAATCCAAAACACAACCACTTCTCACAGCATCCTTTTAATCCCACTGGAAAACACATGCAATACCTCATAAGCAGATGGAATCCTCTTCTGCCACTGCTAAAAAGGTGTTCGGCATTTAACACTGTCCTTCCTCGCAGTCCAGAGGACACAGGCTAACAGCTCCAGTACAAAAAAGAAGAGAAGGACCCAGAGTATTTCCAAAAATCAGCAAAGACTCAACAAAACCAACCCCAAATACGCAAAGGCTTCGCAGCAGCAAGCTTCCTGCTCCACAGAGGCATCTTCCCTTTGCCAAGCCGCAGGTGATTCAGCCATCCCGTACTTAACAGGCACCTCACGCTCACGTGACGCGGTGCCGATTTGGCAACCTACAGCAGGTTAAAAACCTAAATACAGCCCTCTCGAAGGAGGCGGTACAGCAGGGCGCTGCTTTCAATCCTCTCACTCACTCAAATCAGACCAGGGGTTTTGCTGCATTTATCATGTACATAGTTAATACAAAACCAACCCGTGTTTCGGTCACAGAGCAAGGTTACGCTATGTTGTGTACGCTAGATGTGCGTTATACCTTATGCCTTGTTTATTGTTCACTTTTTTGAAACTATACCCAAGAGGCTGCTAAAATACACCTAGAAATGCTGTCCTCCCACCGCCCTACCATTTCACCGACCCAACACCTGTATGAAGTCAACTGCTTTTTCAATGTGTTGTGTAAATCGCCAAAGAACTCAGTTATTCACACATCCTCGTTCAGATAAACACACCTAGAACTCGTCTACCAGAGCAGCGACGGTCTAGTTTCATTCATCCCTGGGGGGAGCCTGTGGCAAAGCGAGTGGCCGGTGTTGGAGCACTTCAGGCGCCCTGCTTTTGCTTTAGTTTTGGTGCACAACCGTCGAGCTGAAGTTCAGCAAGCTCCCGTTTAATGAGAAACAAGAGGCTAGCTCATTGTTTCCCTTTTAGCTCAGTTTTCACTTCCAACTGAAGGCAGATTCTCCTGTAACACGTTTTCAAGATGGTTAGTCATGTAAACGTATTCAGTCCAGCAAGAAACCCAGGAGCCAGGATCAAAGACTTTCTAGATTGATTTGTTTTCTGGAAAGAGCAAGTGGCAGCTCTAACCTGAAAACCCAAGCAGCAACACAGATCCACACCGTATCCTTCCACAGCTGGAGAGTTAAAAAAAATAAAACAGAAATCCACAAAGACAAGGATGTCAAGCGCTTACAGTAGCCAGAAAAATGAACAGCACACAGAAGTACTCATGCGAGTGAAGTCGGGATGAACTCAACTGCATAGAGAGGGATTTAGTCTCCCCATACACTTCAAAATAATACAGCACGAGGCAGACAGCACAGCTAAGAACATCCCCGCAAGGCAAGCACCAGAGGAATTAAGCAGAAAAGCTTAAGTTCTCCTCGCCTGGAGTCTGCGGAGACCGCAGAGTTGCTAAGCTAAGCAGAGCAGGTATCTTCCCCTTGGAATCGCACCAGAGTTTGGGCAACACAGCAGCAGCAAGGGGGGTACAGACTACAGCCAGCTCTAGATCTTAGGTCCAAAAATCTGAGAAAGCAGTGCCTGAAAGTATATGCACACAAAAATATGTGAGGCCAGGAAAAAAAGGTCACAAAGAATTCACAACAAATCCCAGATGAAGTAGCCTGCTTTTCTGCACTAGGATTTGTCTGACTTGCTCTGCCTGACACCGGGCTCTTCCCCATCTCAGCACCAGGGCACGTAGCTGAAATACTTCAGGTCTGTTTCTATAAAAGCTTGCCCTGCTCAGCCACACCCCAGCGAGCGCAGCTCGGGCAGCCCAAGGGCGCAGCAGGCAGCACACCGCTCCTGCCCCGCAGCCGACACGGAGCTGCGGGATTTGCCCATCAAGGGGATTAATTAAGTTCGATTCTAACTTCTCTTTTTCTTCTGTCACACCTAGAAACTGCGGGCTTCTCAAGGAAATTACTGTCAGAGCTTTTATTTTCCAAAGAAAGCGTATGACTAAAGTGCCCTAAGGAAATCTTTCAAGTATCTCTGTTTTGGGGAGATTGGGAGAGATCAGCTCCCTGACGGACAGGAGGGAGCAGCCGCTCGATGGCCTCGTTCAGTCTCCGGCACAAACCAAGATCAGTTTAGGTGAACAGGACCACACCCTTCTTATCCACTGCTTCGCATTAGTGTCCTTGTTCGTCACGAATGATGCAATAACTACATTAAAAACAAGAACACCATGCAAATGATTTATTTACAATCTTTTTGTCAGTTCTCCGAGTGATACAGAATTCCAAAAGCCAGCCAGGACGTTTGCCTCTTTGGTTTAAAAAGTTACATTAACAGCTACCGCCGGAGAAAGAACCTGTCAACAAAAACAACTAGTCCCATCTTAGCCTGCCATCAACTTTTCACAAAGAAGTATTTTTTTTCTTTATCCAAATAACAGTAAAGTCATAAAAGCATTTCTGAAAGAGATTTTAAAAGACGAACGAAAGTCAAAGCTCTCCTGCCCTCCACATCCCGACACATCCGCTGACACACGCTGGGAATTCTGAGGAAATGTGACAACTAGACAGTACAGCAAATCTTCAACAGCAGGAGGGCGTTAAGTGATTGTGAAGAACAAGGTACAGGAAAATACCATAAAAATTAATAACGACTTAAAACTGATCAGTACTTTCACATTCAAAATCGTCATTAACAGGGAAACGATCCTGTTTGGATACAGAGGTTTTTGAAACCTTCAACAAAAACTCAACCGTGGTCCTAATCTTGATAACACACCCAAAATTAGAGACATGAAATGAGACGTGCACGTCGCACCGGGCCAAAGCAAGCGGTCAGGCCTCAACACTTCAAAAATAAGAGGGTCGCTGCCAGTTTGTGACACGAGATCTCTCGTCCACCTACATCAAAATAAATAAATCACAATAATAAAAATCAGTGGCAAGCAAACCAGAGTACGTACTCTGTACAGTGTGACCATGCCCGAAAGCACCATTGGTTTTAAGCTCCAGGCTGCATCTCAAAATCTATTTAAACCCCCAGAGATAATTTTTAAAGTACCTATTCTTAGGCCAGTAACAAGCCTTCAGCACATCTATAAAGGTACACAACGCTGATTAAATTTCTGTACGTACTTGTGACGCTCCAAAATAGTAACGTTCACCTTCCTTGCCATAAGTTGGTGCCTCTCACAAAACGATCACTAAGAGAAGGGCAGCAGCACGTACCTCCACAGAGAAAGCAGGACAACACATTAAAGAGCAAAGCTTCGGCAAATCAGTAATCCTCCTTTGAATGAGGAGAACAGACAAAGTTTCCATTCATCAGTTCTACAGAGCTCACGAGTTAATCAACATTCCCAAGATGATCTGTTTTAAATATTAAACATTTTTATCTGTTTAAAGCTATCAAAATCTTCATTTCAGGTTTAGTTTAGAACAGCTCTGCCGGGACAGCGTGACTTTGCGCTACAGATGACACGCTTTAAGCAGGTCTTTTAAAAAAAGTGGCAATAGAGGGGACTGGCAGGAGGGGCCCTTGTGCCGGGTTTAACTGGCGTTAGTTCTGTAGTAACAAACAGCAGCTCATTTTGCGGGCTGATGATTTGTTTTGTAAATGCTGCAGAACTGCAGCCTTTTG